GTGTCTGGAAACAATGGAGGGCAGAGGTGATGATTAGCAGTAAGCGTTTTTGTGAGTGGGATTCATTTCTTGCAGATTTAAGGGTGTTTTTTGTTGGTTGTTTTCAATTTGCAGTCATTCAGGAAACTAAAGCCTTACTAATTTGGGGTTTCACATCATAAAATAAATACGACGGAAATTGGTTTTACCTCGCTTTAGTGGTTTTTGTGTCTTGTAATGGTAAACTCTTTTATTATCTAATCATTGCATGTTACAGCAGAGACGCTAAACCCATTACAGAAAATCTGGCACATGCCGCTTTCTGGAACCAATTTACCAATGGGAAATTACCATGGTCAATAATATTGATAAAATGAATCAGTTAATATATTAAAAATAATGACTGAATGCAGAATTAAATATGTATATCACACTGAAAAAAAATCTCTCAAAAAACTGACAGTAAATTCTCATTTTTACCTAAATGTACGGGCATTTCTATGTATTGTAAAAATGCAATGCATAGTGAAAAACATCCATAAAAAGTAATATGGAAAATTCCTTTATTTTAAAAATGGTGAATGTTTTTACAAAGATGTTTTTTTTTTTATTATTTCAGTGTAGGGCCTTTCTGTCATTTTTTTGAAGAACAAAAAAAGTATTTAAAAAACCCATTACTCTGCACTGAAAAATGCAGCACTATTTCAAACTGAAGGAATTTTCCATTAAATTTTTACACATTTTTGAAAATAAAGGTTTCTCACATTTTTACATTTCTGGATGGACAAACTTCCAGGAAGTGCATGATTTTACTTCACAAAGCTCGATCATCTTACATGATTTACCTACATAATTATTCTTAGAAGTTGCTATGTGCTCAGGCTAAGAGACACAGCAACTTTCTAACCTTTACATCAAATGAATTTGATGTACTGATGTGTTTTTATCACAATCTTTTAGGCTTTGCACCTAATAAATTAGCAACTGCTCTGTTGTTTTCTGTTTTCTTGTAGGTAAACAACAGTCACACTTAAATGACCTTTGCAAGCATTTCAGTTTACACTGCATTTTTTGCACGAGTTGTGGAGTCACTAGATAGCAGGAACAGGAGTGCACACTACGTGTGTTTCTGCATGACTATGTGCATCCCTTTTTGCATGTTAACAACACGCAAAAACACTGTTCAGTGTGCAGCAATGAAAACTAAATCTTCCCATAGCCAGAAATACTGTTTTGGAAGATCGTCTGGCTTTGCTGCAGCTGAGATTTTGGCTAAGCTTTAAAATGTGGTGTGTTTACCTGGAAGCGATACAGGGATGCATCTGGTTTGACCACTAAACGCTTGTGGTCTTGTATAGGGTAGATGTATCCTAACGCCACCAGCATGGAGCCAAAACTCCTCGCCTCTGAATAAAAAAAGACAGATTTGCTATAAATGAGGGTCTATCACCAATTTTCACTGTCAGCTAACATGATAACATCCTAAAACTGTCTTCTTTTTATCAAAACACACACTTTGAACTGGGATGGCATCAGCTGCCTGATCTCTCACCTTGTGCATCGATTTGGAATCTGTCTGCTAACCACACAACTATGTCTTCACCTGAGGAAAAAGGACTCAAGGTCAGAAGTAACAAAGAATCTATGGAAATAAACAACACTAGTCAAAAGGGCAGCGTGAACAGCAAACAACTTTAAATATACTGTATGTTGTTTATGTCCATCAGTGCATGCCTGTAAATGCCAGAAAGCTAATGTCAAAGAGAGACATGGAAGGAGAAAAGGGAGGAGGAGAAGGATGACAAGTGAAGAAGAGAGAAAATGACAGAAAGGCAAAGGAAAGAAACAAGAGGAAGAAAGAAACTAAGAAAGGAAAGGAAAGCTTGTGAGATGAAAGAAAGGGGGAAAGGGGGAGGAAAAGGAAACAGGAAAAGCAAAGGAATCAGAGATGGAGAGAAAACAAAACAGCAAAGAAAGTGAGAGAGGGAAGTGGAGAGAGCAGCAGAGAAGAAGCCTTTGGTATGTTTTCATTCATTCAGCTGCGGGCATTCAAAGCTTGCAGGTGACGTAGAAGTCTGGGTTCCCTCTCTTCTCCTCCTCCACCACCTACTGCCTGCATTCCTCTTGCTTCGGGCGCTACATGTTTGTTTCCTCTCGCCTGCTCAATCATCATCCTCCTCCTTCACCTCCTACTTCTTCCCTCTCTCTGTCTCTGAGACCATGGGGTTGTCATGGAGATGAAATCTGTAGCTCCAACACCGTGGTATCCTCTGGCGAGGTTGTGCAGGTACAATCACTCAACGGGATAAAAATCAAGCCACTGTAGTGTATGTGAGAGTGTTTCTGTCCACTTTACCAGTAATAGCATGTGGTATTGTGGTGATAACCAGTCTCTGAGGCTGTAGCTTCACTCCCGTTGTGGGGTCCTGCATCTCGAGGACCACCTTCTCCGCCTGCACAAAAAAAGGTTGTGAGGAGGTGTCACATCAGAGCTCACAGTGTAGGTTTTTGGGGCAGCAGATTTGATTGTAAATCCTAAATTTTGATCAGTGAAATTCACATGACGGTGATGATGATCATTAGTGTAACCTCGAGCATGCACAGCATTACCATTAACCTCTTTTCTACTTAATGAAAGGCAGAGAAAGCTGCATTAAACTGTGTCTCACTGATTAAAAAAGGGCAAATTTCCCCCCTGGGATGTTAAGGCTTGATGTGTAAGCTTGTAATTAATACTTCCTATCAGACAAATGCCGAATGATTCGGTTTCTGTTTCTCTCCAAACAACTGTTCAGCTTTTTAGTCCAATGACTGGATTACAGTTTTAATGCTGCATTAGAAAGTGGTGAGAAGCGAGATGACGGGATTGTTTCAAGCCCTGATCTCATGGCTTTTGTTTGGCTTGTGTGGGAGGTTTGTGATGACTCACTGCCCTCTAAACAGTTTTTCAGCCATCATACCATCTGATCCCAGAGCTCCCCCACAACTTAGGTGTGTACGGCAGAGGAAGAAATCCTGTAGTACATTAATTCACTTTATGTGTGTGTGTGTATGCATGTGTGAGAGAGAAAGAGAAAGAGAGTGTGTTTGTAGCTGACTCCTGGGTCTTTTTGAAGTGGCTTTGTGCTTTGAAGTCAACCTGGAGAGGCTATAAGCCCCAGACTGAGCTGGACCAAAGTGGGCTTTCATTGACCAAAACACAAAGTTCTCCAGGAAATGGATTCTGTGTGCATTCCCCTGGAGAGAGGGGGACACTGTGTGAGTGCTACATCTGGAAGCTCATGTCTTGATTATTTCCTTCCATTTATTTATTTATTTTTTCTAATGTTAAAACATTCTCTTTGGTGACCATCCAACTGGCTGGCCTCACACACACACACACACACACACACACACACACACACACACACACACACACACACACACACACACAATTCACACAGCGCCTGGATTAACTTCTTTCCAGCAGCTGGTTGGTGTAGATGGAGGTATTGATACTGATCCAGGCCTAATGCTTATTAAACAGAACGACCTTATCACAGTGAAAAGGTTGAAACAGAACACAGTCTGACAGCTATATAGAGTGTAAGGGGGAAGCTGACATGACATCTGATTTACAGTATGTTGACATCATTCTGAAACATGAGTATATGAATAACATCTCTAATAACCCTTAATAACTAAAGTCCATATTATTAAAGAAATGCATGCTTGCTATTGGGTTTCCCTAAAGCTTGTTGTAGTCCAAATGGTACCTGTGGGTTTTAATCCTTAACGGAATGACCATCCTTAATAAATCTATTCAATGAAAGCATTGGGATTTCCAGAGAATATTATAGATTATTATAGTGCAAATGCCAACAACAGCCTGGGTTTGTGAGGTTCCTGTAAGCCAATACAGTCCAAGCATTGCGTTAGAGAATTTATACAAGTCACTAATGATGCGTCTGCAGCAGGTATAATCTATAAGCCGGTGCTCTGGTTTACATCATCTAATGTAAGCTGTGCAGCCCACCTTTTTGAGACAAGCCATCCGTGGTCGGTACCTCTGTCCATGATCCCGGAGAACGTTTCGGATGGTCATGTTGTGTGATGCTTTGCACCGCTCTCTCTCTCTCTCACACACACACACACACACACATACAACACTGCTGCCGCCTGTGAGAGCCCTGTGTGTCGTGTGGGGATGCTTGAGGGGAAGTGCAACACTGATCGATGGTGATGTTGCCTTCAAATGTCCCCCCTCTAAACCTCTCACTTGGAAAAACGGAAACTGTTAATGTGCCAATATTTTATCATTTTTAAATTGAATTAGGATTAAATTACCCGTGTGGCACTTCAGGCATGTAATAAAAAGTTGACAGTTCCAATAAGAGTAACAAAGAATTGTCTAAAATAGGTTTAAGTAATTGCAATGTGAAGCCGTTTTAGTTAAATATAGGCAATAATTTAGTGTTCTTTATCTCATCAATGCTATAAACGCAAAGACAGAAGGTCAAATACATCCACTTTCACAAAACCAAGTTATTTTCCGTCAAGATTTCAAATTTTATTGTTCTTCAGCAGAGCGTTCAACTGCAGATAGCAATATTTCCTGCAGTCTCTGAAAGCAGCATGTCTAAAAGTGTGAAACGAATCAACCAATCGGAGCGCGTCTTTTTTTTTTCAACGTGTTTCTATACTGCACCAGTAGAGGGCGACATGCCACCACCGGTCAACTCTCATTTTTTCCTTCATATTTATTTTAATGTTAATTATGAAAACTTTATGTATTTATTTTTTACTTTAATTATAGCCGTTAACGCCTATTAATTCTTTTTATAGTGTATCGTGCAATTAGACCTCTAAAACTTGAAAATGTATTCGCGTGTAAATTTCAGTATGCTGCTTATAAAGTTATTTTTGTGTGTTTCCATTCAAACGTAGCTACGGACAATATTACGTGTTTATGTGAGGCATATCCGCGTAAATAGCACAGTAGGCTGTGCCTTAAGATTGATGGTAAACAGTCAGCAGCGGTACTTCCTGAGTTTAGGGAAGGGGCTTGGTCCCGTGCCTGCGCCCGAGAACGCGCATCAAATTAGCATCGATGAAGTTTGTGCGAACATGGCGGATTTCCTGCCGACCAGGTCCGTGTTAAAAGTTTGTCTACCCGTCTGCCTGCTTAACAGCGGCGAGGTGGAACAGCTGAGAAAGTCCAAAGAGATCGACAGATGTCTCTCCAAGGAGAAAACGTATGTAAAGCGGCTGGTGAAGATCCTTCTCCTCGGCGCTGGCGAGAGCGGCAAGTCGACTTTCCTCAAACAAATGCGGATCATCCACGGCCAGGACTTCGACCAGCACGCCCGAGAGGATTTCAGAGCAACGATTTACAGCAATGTTATCAAAGGTAACCTCGCTACCGAGGGCTGGAAACTTAAAGGGCGTGAAAATCGCCCTTTTACTCGGTTAAAAGGCACTGGAAAGTTTCCACATCTGTTTAGCAGCGCTGGGCTGGGTGAGAGGACACATAAACAGTCTACATCTGCTCTCGGCACACCCATAGGAACCTCGTTTGTCCTAAAAGCTTAACATTTCTAGGGGTTTAGCATAGCTATACCAAATACAGCGAATCAAGTTTTTTGTGATATCTTTAACCAACACTACCCGCGGTTTTAAATCAGCTACAGGCAAGTTTTGTTGCTCAATAACTAAGCTCGGGATGAAGCTAATGGAGGGCAACCCGCCAGTGTAGTGTGCTGTAAGGTGTTCCTCTTTGTCCACGGACTGAATGAAAGAGAAATCTTTACGTTGGTGTTGTCCACGTTAAACAAAATCGTCTGTAAATACCAACAAGGCTCAAGCGTCGCTTTTTAATAGTCACGAAATTGTATATAACCCGACAGTTATTTCGGCCATTTTCAAAGTAAGGTGTTGGTGTGACCAGCACATCCTGTACATTTTTTTTAATGAATAAACAGTTTGAAATAAATGTAAATAATAGCTGTGAATACAGGGATTTCCCCGGCTTATAATGTGGTTTTCGAAGCACATTTTCTTGTTATTTCTGGTCATTATATCAGCAAAATGTGCTTTATTCTTGGCTGAATGAAAGTTCAGTTAAAGAAAAATTGGGTAGAGTGATGGTTAGCACAAGGTGGTGATTTTTTTTTTCCTTTGAGGGGAGGCTAAGACCTCTTTGGTGGAAATTTTGTGTAAGCAGGAAAAACCCTGAAATCTGTCTAGTAACAGGGTTATGTTAATCATGGGCTACCTTAAAATCAACTCCACTTTTTCTTGCCCTATCATCATTTTTTTTGTATTTTATTTTATTTTTTTAGACACAGCAGGCCTCCAAAGGACACAGGTGTTGGGTTACTTTTGTTTCACCTGCCCTTCTCACTACCCCTTTCCACTATTAAGTTGCCATCTGACTTCCTTTTCCAGGTATACGTGTGCTGGTGGACGCCCGTGAGAAGCTGCACATTCCGTGGGGTGATGAAGACAACCAGCCGCACGGCGACAACCTGATGGCGTTCGACACCCGCTCAGCCAAGATGACCAGTGGGCAGCTTGAGACATCGGTTTTCCTGGAGTACCTGCCCGCCATTAAGGCCCTGTGGGCAGACTCGGGCATACAGAACGCCTACGATAGGCGCAGGGAGTTTCAGCTGGTGGGTTAGAGCGTGCACACACACACACACACACACACACACATGCTGAAATGGCATAACTGACAGATAATGGTGGCCTAGTTTTGTCTGATAAAACGTTCTCAATCTCAGCTCTCTATCACCAGGTGCAATAAGGGTTTTCTGGTGTTTCTGAATGGGTTTTTCCAAAAAGTCATATTGATGAAAATGGCAGTGAAAACAGAAAGTGAAACTGACTTTTCAATTCATCCTCCCTTTCCACTCTCCCTGCATCTAATTCTTTAGTCTCTGGTGCTCTCTCTGTGCCGAGTGGTCAGACATGTGATTCAATAGGCTTCCTGTTTACACCTCTCCCAGCTGCGTATATCTTTTGGCTGTCAGTGTGCACGTCTTAACTCTGTGACGTTTACCCCAGAAGAGCAGATGTGGTCGGGAGTGCGTTCACATGTCCTTTCTGGGCTGTTGATATGCTCTTATTTTATCTTTTATTACCGTAGCTTTAGGCTTTTTTAAAAAATGACCAGCTGTCAGGGATTTTCCTGACTCAAAATAAGCCCCTTTCTCCCATGAGTGTAGCTTTACAGTTAAAGCACTGATTACTTTACCTGATTTGACAGAAATCTGTGTATTCTGGCTATTTAATAAGCCAAAAAAATGCCAATTTTAACCAAGTAAATAATCCCCAATTAAGAAAACAGTGTGTTTGTCAAAAGGCTGGTGATTTTCCTGTGGCTCTTGCCAAAATGTTGTCTGTATAGGAATAACCCTGATTGCCCTGCCTTCATGTGACAAACTTAAACACTTCAGCAGTTAAGGGGCCCCCAACTGAGGACAGAATAAGGGCTGCGCTTCTCCAAGTGGCTTTCAGTAATGAAAAGCAGAAAATTACAATTTGCCAGTGGGTTGCATAAAACCAAACTTTCGTCAATGGCGTTTTGTTGCTCTGGCACACACACACTCAGCTTGTTGGTGCAAACCTTTCCAGACAGACAAGGAGAATAAGTGTGATCAGAGCAGGAATGTTGATCTGTAGTTAAACAGCTTTATGCTCACAAACAGATCCCTGGCTCTCCCACTCAGCGTTATTTGCACACAAACACTAAGAGTGTCACACACCTCGAGTTACACAAGGTCACACACACACTAACGTGCATAACCTATCTGTGTAAGAGTGTAAGTATTCATTTTGCAAATTGGCAAGTTCCTGTATTCCACCCGCCCACCCCCAAAATCTTCAAAAGCGTTAATTATCACGGAAAACATCGCACCTTTTAGACTTTTGAAGCTGGAGCTGTGCATTTAATAATGGAAGTGAGCTGTCACTTGGACTGATCATTCATATAAACACACAAATGTGACTCATTCGATGACAGTAGTAAACGGAACAATGTAAGCAGCCTGCTATGGAAACAGCCTGTAACTGAAGAGCGGCAGGATCGCTGAAAGCCTGACTAGCTGTTCAGTTACTGGACGCTAGGTGTTGGTATCACAGAATCACTGTAGCCTAAGTGTGCTGCGAGGCGATCATCTGCGATACATCACAATATCTGTGAAAACGAAACAAGTGAAATCGCCTACATGTGTTGATAAAGATATTGATACCACAGATGGAAGCCATATAAAATATATTGTCCCATCCTTATTTCACATGTGCACATGTTTACAGATTAAAGCTCTTTGAATTTTGGCGGATTGGTTGAACAAACCAAATAGTTGGTCACCTGTCACTTCAACCCACTCTGGAAAATGAGGAGACATTTTATAGACTAAACAATTGATCAGAAATAGCTTTGAGCCTTTATTTGTTGTGTAATATCAGTGGAGGGTCAATGGAACACAGACACGGGGCTACACACACACACACACACACACACACACACACAATTACATATTACTGTACAGCCAAGACAGTTAGTTTATAAAAGAAATAAAAAATGTAATTCATATGTGACAATTCATTGTTCTAGGGTACAAAGTGAAACAGTATTTGACTTTAATTTTAAAAAAAGCATTAGTTTAGGGTCAAAAACAGTGTAGTTTTTGTCAAATGTCCATCTTTTATAAAACCAACCACACATTTTGAAAAGTGTTTGGGATGTTTTGGGTTCTTTTTGCCTTTTCTCTTATATTAAAATAAAGTTATTATTGCTAGATGTCTTGAAATGAAACTGAATATCAATTGCAAGCTTACAGTGTACAAAACCTTAATATTAAGTTTTAATGGTGAGTACACTGTAAACCCTGAGGGCAAAATTAATTCTGTTGGGAGCTGTTAAAATTTTTTTCCTTCTCTAAGAAGAGATTTGTGTCATTTGCAGCAGATTACCCAGAATCCCCTCGTGTTGACCGTGCCCCATTTAAGCATTTGCATCACAAATCGCACGTGCCTTCAGGCTTGGTTGTAATTATCATGTTTAAAAAAGCACACACACACGTAGCGCTGTGAGTATGCACATGGCTTCTCTCACTTCCTGCAGTGCAGACGTCAGCGTTGCTCGTTACAATAGTCTTAATCTTTTCATCGGAGATTCTGAGATTCATAGTATTAGAATTATTTAGTCACATCTTCCTTTAATGTAAGTGTCGGTTCAGATGACATATTGCTGAGTTTCAGTTTTGCTTCTGCAGGCGTTGTCATGCCTCAGCAGGGAGAACGCAGAGTGATTGCGCTTCTTGTTTCTCTTCTCCTTTTTAAAAAAAAAAAAAACAGGAAAAAAAATCTGACTTGATTTTTGATTATTTCAAAACCAACCAAACCCTTCTTAGTTATGAGCTCCTTTTACTCGGGCGGAGTCTGATGTGAAATCAGAAAAGTAGCTTTTTCTTCATTTAACTCTAGTAGAGCGCCACACCATTGGGCTCCTCCCTTGGGTAATCCTAGCCGTGCACATACACACACACACACAGAAATGCACACACACAATCACAGGTTTTTCAGGTCAGGTTAGTTGTTTTTTTTTACCTAAAGATCAAAAGGTGACAAGAAGAAGAAGCTGGGGTGGGTAATGCTCGTACATGGTGGTAAGAGAGAAATACAACCCGATCGCTGCAACTGGGAACATTTAAATGCCTATCGTGTCATTAATGCAAAATACATGCAAAAAACAAAACAAAAATCCCCTGTGCAAGTGTAGTGCGTTGCAGTAGAGGCGCTGCAGGTCACAGGAAAGACGATGGGTTAAATCTGTTTTTCTTTTTGCACACAGTGTTTTGGTTTATGTCGAGTGCAGGACCCGCACCAGCTCACAGATAAAGGAATGCATCTCAGTCCTGGCAGCCCCGTGTCTGGTCTTGCACTGCCTGCACAAAAGCAGTGTCGAAAAAGTCCTGGGAAAAAACTCAAATAAAACACTTCTAACCACGCAGACACACACTAACCAACACTTCTGAATACATCAAAGACACACTTAGAAACGCGTGTCACAGTCTTACTAAATAATGCGCATCCTGCCTCAGTACCTCAGAACAGACTCTGCTCTGGGGCGGACACGGGAGAAAGAAAAAAGTCAGGTTACTTCTGTCTGTGTGGCAGCTAAACACTCTCCCCACTAGTATCTCAGCGCCTTTTCCTCTTGCAAACATATTGCTGCAAAATGTTTTCTGCTGATTGTGGTAAAAATGACAGAACCTAATTAATTGTGTAGAATTAACAGAAATTCCTCCTCTGTCCTGTCGCAGGGTGAGTCAGTGAAGTATTTCTTGGATAATCTGGATAAGCTCGGCGAGCTGGTAAGTTGTTTCTGCTTGTACTCTTTGTGATAATCAGACTTGTGCATGTTATAGTTAATACTGCAACATGTCCAGACAATTAAAGGTTACCTTAGAAATGACTAAGGTGGTTGCTTGCCGCAGATAATGCTGGCATTTTGTGAAAGAAGCTCCTTATATTTAGTTAAGCTCAATTTTTTTTTCAGGTGTTTAAAAGTTTAGTTAAAAAAAACATCAAGATGAACACAGTAAGCAAGTTCAAACAGTTTATAAACCCTTAATATTAAGTCTAAAGTCCAAAACTTGAGGGCGTTATTGAGAGTAAATCAGGGTTTTTCCTTTATTAACATGAGAGATATTTTAACCGCTCCCAACTGAGTTTTAACAATACTTCCTTTTTTCTGACATCAGCATGCTGGAAGTTGAATTGTTTTTCAGATTTCTGTGCATCATAAACACATCCTTTTTACATTGAGGACATTAAGTGTTTATACTTGTACTATTATTTACAAACACACATGCTTATGCTAACATCTACAATCTTACTGTCTTCATGAGGTTTGTATGCGTATGTTTGTTTTGTAAATTTAATTACACTTTTATTACCAAGGTTGTGCTTACAGGTGGTGTAAGCACAAAGGCTGCTGTATTCTTTTAGATGCGTCTTTCATGTTGTGCTCTTCAATACAGCCACCTTTAGTATGAACTCGATACATAAAGTGCAGCCTTTTCTGCTCATTTCCAGCACCACCTTTTCAGACTCTACTAGAGTAGCTTTGCATGATTCATATTAAAAATAATCCTTATACTGTGCTCACTCAGATCTGTATGTCTGGGATGACAAGATTAAGGTGGTGTCACATCTTGATGATGTCAACCAGAACTAGGAGAAGAAAAAAATGCCATGCCATTGTCATGTTTACTGCAAGCTTCCATCATATCAGTTTACATATCACAGAAAATGGACAGAGGCTTAGCAGGTTCACCTTATATGTGTTTGAATGAATATAATGTTGCATGCACACACATCCTCATAGCTTTTGTAAATGCTATGAAGCTAAAAAGCTAGTTTTGTTTCTGTGGGTGTGTGTATGTTAACTTCACTCCTGTGGCTGACCTCAGGCTTTTTTTGTTTATTATAGAAATACACGCACACACAGTTGCAAACCACAGTGTCCTCATTACAAATGGGCACATTTTGAATGGGCGCTACTAACATGAATGAAATCCCCCCCCTAAATGTATAATCAAACTCATAATGACTGTTTTCATAATGGAGTTGCTGTGTTTTCTTTCATCACCATTTTACAAACAGCATCCATTTGTGGGTGTTTGTTTAGTATATGAACATAATATTCATTTCAACTCTTTGTGCTGCCAATTGTAGCTGTGCTAGTTTCTCTCCTCCCTGTTTCACTCTGTGTATGAGTCTTTTTTTATTTGGTAAGACACGTTTAAAATGCTCAAGTTATTTTTTTTAAACAGAACACACCTAGCCTGCATCTGGAGCCGTCCTCTCTATTAAGCAGTGAATCTGAACCTGCTAAAGCCAGTTTAACAATGATTACAAAGATGATTGGCTTGTATACAGAGCCTACCCAAGCTTCCTGGTGATTTTCAGTTGAAATATCCACCTTTAGATTCAGCTCCTCCACAGAGCCACAGAGGTTACAGCAGAAGCAGATGTTAAACTTATTATGTCAAACCTTTACTTTCATTTTCTACAAAATGCTGACCTTCCCATCGATTGCTTTCTGTGGGAAATCCCCATATTTGTGGATATTTACGGAATCGTTTTTGTGTAGTCTTAAACTCTGCTGTGTTTTCCTCAGCGCTCATAAGTGTGTCATTTCCAGTCTTGCTTTTGCAGGACCCAAAGTTAGAGCTGAAGAATAAAACACATTTCTAGTATTTACAGATGAATTGGCTGCTAGTTTGAACTTTGTTATGTGTCTGGTGTTTCTTCTTCAGTCTGCAAACAAATCCTGGTTTGGAAAGGATTTTCTATCAAACGGTTAGGTGGAAATAAGGACAAATGGTATTTTTGTCTCAATAATTAAAAGTTTGTCTTTCTGCCTCTCCTGCTAGGATTATCTTCCCACTCAACAGGACATCCTGCTGGCTCGTAAACCCACTAAGGGCATCCATGAGTATGACTTTGAGATCAAGAATGTTCCCTTCAAGATGGTGGACGTGGGAGGGCAGCGATCCGAGCGGAGACGCTGGTTTGAGTGTTTCGACTCAGTCACCTCGATCCTCTTCCTCGTCTCCTCCTCCGAATATGACCAGGTAAAAAAATTAAAGTAAACACCGCTGCTGCATCAGATGCAGAAAGAAACCATGGCATCTCATTTCCTGCCACTCACAAGCAAGCACGCTCAATACAGATAGGATGATAAGAAGCACATTAACCAGTTTGTTCTTGACAATAATGTGTGGTAACTTTTGATAACGTTTCATTGATGCTTCTGCTTGTGCAGCTGCAAGACTTTCCTTAAGACGAATTAATTATTTGAGTTTCTAACTAAAGCTCTGATTTGACCACCACTTAGATGTGCAAGTGACAACTTTGGTTCATTTATTTGCTAGTCGTGCTGTATTTATTTACCATGTTTCCCCTTCCGTCTTCAGTATTCTAGCGACAGGCTGATGTGAATCCCCAAAATGTGACTGATATGTTTAAATGGGCACCAACAGCATGAATCGGTCTGTTCTTCATCACATTTACAAGGCTCAGTTCGGGGGGTTGTGGTTTGGTACTTTTTCAGAGCGGTGGAAAAACAGTGAGAAGACTTGCAAGACAACATTTTACAAGTACACATTAAATTGTGATGGATTGAAGTATTTACACAAACGAGAGGCTGAAATGTCCAGCAGAAACTTGATTCGAAGCTCAGAGCAGATGTAAGGTTTGCTTTGCTGCTAACTTTACACAAACTGAAATTATCTCAAGCATTAATGGAGCCGACTAACTTCTGATTGGTTGTCCCTCGTATACAAAAGGCTTGAATGTCAGGCAGGTATGGCTTCTTTGAGAGAACCATTTAGAAGATTTTTCACATGAAAAGACCCAAGATTAGGAATAGGAATAGGAATTATACACCGTTATAACAGTATATAAATGGCTGAAAATAAGGAAGAGAATGGGTCCCCTTTAAGGATTCCAATGGCATTGCTTTCTTAATGGTTGAATGTGGAATCAAGCTGCTTGAAAGCAGATGGAAGAATTATTTGCCTCTGATTGAACCATCTCAAGTGTTTTGCCATCATAAATATGTTTTCTGGGACTTAACCAACTTCATTTTAGCTATGCTGGCCCCTAGTTTCAAGTCCCTCACTGTTTTCCTCATTTTGCCGTAACTGCTTAAAAAACAAGCTCTTGTTCGATTTGCCCTGTGCAGCATACCAACTGTTGTTGTAAGAGCCATGCAATAGCAGGCTAACCCAAATAGCCTAGTTTTTGGGCGGTTTTTTCTCGTTGGTTTTTTTTTTTTTTTTTTTTTTTTTAAACCTATTGCACACCATAAAACCACAGTTTTAATCCAAATTGACTTTGGTTAACAGGAAATGCTATTAAAAGGAAGCTTATGAATACCTGACAGGATGTAACATGTACAGGTTAAAGGATTTACACCATCTGTACTGGCAGTAGTATTTAATTGTTCCGTCATCTATTACAGGTGCTGATGGAGGACAGGCAGACCAACCGGCTCCGTGAATCGCTCGACATCTTCGAGACCATCGTCAACAACCGTGTCTTCAACAACGTTTCGATCATCCTATTCCTCAACAAGACGGATCTGCTGGAGGAGAAAGTGAAAAACGTTCCCCTCAAGGACTACTTTCCCGAGTACAACGGACCGGAGCACAGCCTGCCGGATGTCCAGGCGTTCATGGTGGACTGCTTCCGAGCCAAGAGGCGCGACTGTACTCAGAAGCCCCTGTACCACCACTTCACCACCGCCATCAACACGGAGAACATCAGGCTGGTGTTTCGGGACGTCAAGGACACCATCCTGCACGACAACCTCAAACAGCTCATGCTCCAATGACCTCTGACAACCTGTGAAAATGGAGGACCTGAACAGGGACAGACCACCCCCTCGCTCATGAAGAGGACTTGGGAGAGAGAGCAGCATCAGAAGAATCCGATGAGACGTCAGCATTCTTCTTCAGACATTTTATATTAGTTTTTACTCTCCTCTTTGAAGAGTTGTCCCTCTTGTAAGTTCAGGATTTGTTTGAGGAACGAGTAAGCCGTGCACGCCGTGGTAATATAAATGGAGAAGAAGCCTCGTTTGGATCTTGGATGACATCTGAAACCTGCTGCTTCACCTCCTCTGTCCTGAGCTCTGCATTCACAGCACGAGTTACTGGGGCTATTTTCTCACAAGGTGTCATTGCTGGCGCCAGCAAAAGGTTTTCCAAAATGAGACGCACGGCTTCCAAACAAACGCAGGAATTAATCTAAGTAACGTTTAATTACCAGTACTGTGTGTGAGAGTTGATTTGCCGAGCACTGAATTCATCTAGTCCAAATTTACTGTTACGTCTGTTGAAAGTTGTTGCTAAGTCATTTTAGTCACATTTGGCGGTCATCAGCTTTTCTTTTTTTTCCATTTCAGATCAGCAGGTTTAACGCCCGCGATCAGAAGTGAAGACGTAGTAGAATTACAGTTAAAGATTTGAGGAGTGAACTGGCTCCAGCACTGGCACCTTGTTTTGCAGAAAACTGCTTGACGAGGGCACAACCACAACAGACTGAACCTTTTATTTCCTTTGATATAATTTCTTAAGACTTAATCACTATTTAAATGTTGCTTTATTATTAAATCTTTAATCAGATAATTAAGATGCCAGTTTCCGTATAAATTGTCCCTTATTTCTGGGTGTTCAGAGGGTAAAAAGATTACCTTCTTAGGCAGGTGTGCCACTTAGTGAACATGCAGTCCACTGTTTTCTCAGGGTTGAATCAAAACCGGTGTCGATGCTGATGTAATTGTTGATGAGCTAACTGAATATTCTGATTCTGATTATTATTATTTTTTATTTTTATTTTTTAATTCTGAGTGGTGCGACTCAGCCAGGCCTCCCTGCCGTTAGCTGGGTGGTGTTTAGCACCGTATCTTCCTGGCTTTGACCACTGACATTGACCCAGAACCCCCAGCTCCTCCCTTTCTTTGTTTCCATCTGTGATTAGATGCCTTGTAAAGGGACAGTCCTCCCCTGTTTGCCTGAATCATGAATGTGTGTTAATAAATGTACAGAGATTTGCTCTAGATTGCTTGAATATACTATAACCAATATTAATGTGGTAAAATATAACCCATTATGTGAGAATATCTGTGTTGGCACTGACTCCAGGCATCTCTGAAAACCCCTTGAACATTTTTTTTCCTTGTGTTGTTTAGATTTCCCTCAAAACTACATTTTGAACTATATGTGACCAAAAAAAAAAAAAGACAAAAGCTTGAATACTTTTGTTGGTGACCGTATTCTGGTCTGGGCCGATCTTTGTTAGAGCACCATTTCCACTGTTAAAATCTCTGCTTCTCTGCCAAAAAATCACCCTGTGCTTTTTCAGGACTGTGCACACTGACCGTGTCCAGTTTTACTCCAAAAATGCAGCTCGTGAGAGTTTCACTTTGCTTCCAGCCCTGGCTTTGTAAATACTGTAATCTGTTGCCATGTAAATAATATCCAGGTTTATCTCCTATATGTAAATGGTTGTAGAAATGGCTTTTTTCCCATCCCGATTTTTTTGCTTTTTCAAATCACAGCTTTTCCAATGAAGATGACTTTTTGATGTAGTGTATTTGTTTTCCATCACGGCTTGTTTTTGAAATTCTTGCTTGTGTTGTCTCTCATGCCAGTCTAACCTTCTCAATAAAATCCACTTTTCTACTTATGTCTTGCTCCCTTGATATGTTTGCTTTTTTTGAATAATTTGGTTCATTGTGAATCGTGAGGTGCCATTTTATGCCTGAAAAACTTGATTTTATTGTCTTTTGAAATTCACTGTGAATTTTTTTTGAGGTGCAAATTTAAACCTGGGTTCTTTACCACTTAGACCAAAATCTAATGATTAACAAAACACGAGGACCACGTGTTACGTAGATAAACCCTACTGTACCGCTAAGACGTCTTTTTTTTTCAGTACTCTGCCAGAAAAATACGTAAGCATTTCTGCGGATACATAGTTTCCGACGCCTCAAGCGTACCTGTGAAACATTTAGTGGTTATTTTGACTTCATCCAAAAATGCGTCGGCATGTTTGGGGACTTCAAAAGGCGGAAGTGGGAGGAGTGAATCATAAAGTCGACGCAACACACCCACCGAGCAGATCCCTGCGTGTTCGTACAAGACTTTTATCTGTCACAGCAATGTAACGGGCTGTACCGTTATAAACCACATCCAAGGGGTGTAATTTTAAACTAGGGCGTCAATATAGTGATGATTTTACGATAACTTTTGATTTTACATTCAGGCTTCGAACTCGCTACCTAAAAGCGGGGTCTTTCACTTCACCGTCGCGACTCTGAGAACTTACTTAACCGAAACTGTTTAAAAGTGACACTCCCGCGTGTAAATGTGATAATTACTGACGCTTCACCTTAGCGCTGTAACTTTGCTGCTCTGAGTCATGCTTTCACCCGAATGGCTGTTTGACAGGCGCGTGCGAAATGAGCTGTGGTAAGTGTCACACAACTGTAATTCAGAATAGCGGAAAAAACACGTGATATAATAACGACCAATATATTAATTTGCTGAATTATAAAAATATGTTTATAGCTTCGTCTAGAAGCCGGGGTGACAAACATAAGACCCGGGGGCCAGAACTGACCCACCAAAAAGTCCAATCCGGCCCACTGGACCTCTGTAAAATGTGAAGGAGGTCATAAAATTTGGACTTTCAACTATATTTTCACAAATTACGCAGCTGATGCTATAAGCCATTTGTGCTACAAGAAAGTAATAAAGTAACAAACACAAGACAGAAAATGTCCAGTTTCTTCACTAACTACTAGAAATTTCTGTTTTTATTTCAAATGTGTCTTCAGTAAAATAAAGGACATTTTCTGTAAATTAACAAAAACTTTCTCTTTATAATTACTGGTAGCTGGTCAATGAGCTACCAGAACTTTTTCTGTAATTTTACACATTCATATCTTGCAATTTAGGTGTGAAGAATCATGCTGACAAACATGTCCTTATCATGTACACTGGGGCAAAAAAGTATTTAGTCAGCCACCAATTGTGCAAGTTCCCCCACCTAAAATGATGACAGAGGTCAGTAATTTGCACCAGAGGTACACTTCAACTGTGAGAGACAGAATGTGAAAAAAAAAATCCATGAATCCACATGGTAGGATTTGTAAAGAATTTATTCGTAAATCAGGGTGGAAAATAAGTATTTGGTCACCTCAAACAAGGAAAATCTCTGGCTCTCACAGACCTGTAACGTCTTCTGTAAGAAGCTTTTCTGTCCCCCACTCATTACCTGTATGAATGGCACCTGTTTGAACTCATCATCTGTATAAAAGACACCTGTCCACAGCCTCAAACAGTCAGACTCCAAACTCCGCCATGGCCAAGACCAAAGAGCTTTCGAAGGACACCAGGAAAAGTATTGTAGACCTGCACCAGACTGGGAAGAGTGAATCTACAATAGGCAAGCAGCTTGGTGTGAAAAAATCAACTGTGGGAGCAATCATCAGAAAATGGAAGACATACAAGACCACTGATAATCTCCCTCGATCTGGGGCTCCACGCAAGATCTCATCCCGTGGGGTCAAAATGATCATGAGAACGGTGAGCAAAGCTCCCAGAACCACACGGGGGGACCTGGTGAATGACCTGCAGAGAGCTGGGACCAAAGTAACAAAGGTCACCATCAGTAACACACTACAACGGCAGGGAATCAAATCCCGCAGTGCCAGACGTGTTCCGCTGCTGGAGCCAGTGCATGTCCAGGCCCGTCTGAAGTTTGCCAGAAAGCACATGGATGATACAGCAGAGGATTGGGAGAATGTCATGTGGTCAGATGAAACCAAAGTAGAACTTTTTGGTATAAACTCAACTCGTCGTGTTTGGAGGAAGAAGAATACTGAGTTGCATCCCAAGAACACCATACCTACTGTGAAGCATGGGGGTGGAAACATCATGCTATGGGGCTGTTTTTCTGCCAAGGGGACAGGACGACTGATCCGTGTTAAGGACAGAATGAATGGGGCCATGTATCGTGAGATTTTGAGCCAAAACCTCCTTCCATCAGTGAGAACTTTGAAGATGAAACGAGGCTGGGTCTTCCAACATGACAATGATCCAAAACACACCGCCCGGGCAACAAAGGAGTGGCTCCGTAAGAAGCATTTGAAAGTCCTGGAGTGGCCTAGCCAGTCTCCAGACCTCAACCCCATAGAAAATCTGTGGCGGGAGTTGAAAGTCCGTGTTGCTCGGCGACAGCCCCAAAACATCACTGCTCTCGAGAAGATCTGCATGGAGGAATGGGCCAAAATACCAGCTACTGTGTGTGCAAACCTGGTAAAGACCTATAGTAAACGTTTGACCTCTGTTATTGCCAACAAAGGTTATGTTACAAAGTATTGAGTTGTATTTTTGTTATTGACCAAATACTTATTTTCCACCCTGATTTACGAATAAATTCTTTACAAATCCTACCATGTGGATTCATGGATTTTTTTTTCACATTCTGTCTCTCACAGTTGAAGTGTACCTCTGGTGCAAATTACTGACCTCTGTCATCATTTTAGGTGGGGGAACTTGCACAATCGGTGGCTGACTAAATACTTTTTGCCCCACTGTATATAAACTAATGCATACTGTTGAAATTACACTTCTTTTTAATAAATCGAGATATCCCAGGAATTAAATGTGCAGTTAAACTACTTTACAATGACAGAAAAGGGATTTTCACAGTTCTAGCTAATTTCAAAGTGGCCAGTATGCGTCCCTTGATGTAAAATTGATCTAGAGACTAGGTATCAACTATATGGCCTGTTGGCCAGACGTAGGTCCAAAAAGCTCCAATTCAGCCCACTGGATGGCTTTGGAAAATATGGACACTTCAAATAAAGATTATAAAGTCCTTTATTTCTTGCAGCTCTTACAATTTTTTTTAAATCAGCATTTCTTTGTAATATGGAAAAGTTGAGATGTTTTGTTAAATAAAATTGCGCTTATTTTTCTGAGGGATTTTTCTTATCTCAGGGAAAACAAGGGTAACTTTCATAGTGCTGAAAGTTGAACAAAAACAGTTAAGGCTTCACTGATCTAGCCTATTTAACTTGAAATTTGGTTGTATGTGCCCCATGATAAGCTCGACACCCCTGGTCTAGAGAACCTATTATTCAGGTGACAAGGTCAACCTTGTAACTACCTTACATTTCCCATTAATTGGGTAGTCTTCAATGCAAAGCAGTATTTTATTGACACTCAATTATGGGTCTGAATGTCATGGTAGTTTTGGGCTTTTAATTTCACTATTCCATTGACTTTGTGCAATATACTAGTACCACTGACAGCTTTCTAAGGTCAGAAAGTTTCATCTTTACTTCTTCAAACATTGTGGGTCAGTCTTTCTCTCATCTGACCATAAAACCTTTCTCACATTTCGTTTGTCGTTGTGGGCAGCTGCAAATTTCAGTCAAGCTTGACGGTTTTTATTTTGGAGCAGGGGCTTCTTTCTTGGTTGGCACGCTCTCAGTCCATAGCTATGTAAAACTTGCTTCACTGTAGACAGTGACACTGGTGCTGCAGTTTCAAGTTAATTGCAGGCTTGAGCCTTGTTGGTTCCCAGGTTGTTCCTGAACATCCCAATTAATTACATCTTATCTGAGGAGGACAGTTTGGGTAATCTTCCAGACGTTGGCAAAGTGGTGGCACATCCAACATGTACAATTGTCTTAACTGATGATTTTGGGATCTGCAGCTGTTTAGAAATTGCTTCAAGAGATCTTCCCAACTTGTTTAAATCTAAAATTGCCTTTCTGAGATCTTCACCAAGTTCTTTGGACTTTCTCATTCAATGAGTGCTGTCAAAGAAATCCATTTTATGCTGGCAGACAAGTTACCAGTTGTACTGTATGTATACTTTTAACCCTGTGTGGATTAGAGAAAATGCAAAGTAAAGCCAGACCTGTGCACTTATGTATTGTTTTTAAAGTCATTAAAGATGTATGTTGTATAACCATGCTACTTTGGAAAAAGTTAAGTTAAAAGTCGAAAATTACCACGACATCAATGCCCATGCGACATCAATGTGTAGATGTAAACTTCAGACCACAACTGTACATGTGACATATTTTGAATGCAAGGTGTGTTAAACATGTAGATTGGGAACCAGAAGAGGTGTCGGCCCACCAAAGGAACCAATCTTTCCAACTGGACTTCTCTGCGAGTGTAAAAATGTAGTGACATTTTAATTTTAGTTATTTTTGTTCCTAATGGCTGACCTTAACTTATTCTTCTTTACAGTAAAAGAAAGGATAGGTATTCTGTTTTGTGCAGCTGATTTTCTGGTCTACTTAACATCAAAATGGACTTTATTTAATTGTTAAAAAAAACCCAACAACCTCAAAAGCAATTGGTGCAGTGGTTAACACTGTTGCCACACAAAAATAAGGTTCTTGGTTTGCACGTCCTGGTTGGGTCGGGGGTTGGGTGATCCAGTTTCCTCCTACGATCGTGCATGCATGTTAGGTTAATTTATGATTCTAAATTGTGTATGAGATCATAATCAGTATGTTTATGCACACATAGCTGGTGCTTGATAAGATTTTCTTTCTTTAAAGATGAAATTGTTCATATAAAGCTAAAACTATACCTTATTTATATTCAGCCATTATGTCCTTCCAACACATCTTCACTGGTCATTCTATGTTTGCCCTGGAAGTCCCATTTTGACCCGTTCTCTGTCACCCACCCACCCACAGAGGTGTGTCCATTCTGCGGGAAAACGTACAAAAGGTTGAAGAGCCACTTGCCACATTGCAAGGCAGCTGCTGCCTCTAAAGCGCCACCATCCAAACCAGATGTCACAGCAAACCAGACAGCATCGTCTTCTCAGCTGGACTCGGTTTTGTCCAGAGCAACTGCAAAGGGAAGGAAGTCATCGTCATCAGTCATAACAGATCTACAAGGACAGACGCGTAAAAGGGACACAGCATCAGGACCATCAAATGCGACATCTTCATCACCACGAACATCATCATCCATGACATTACTTTCACCAACTACGAAGAAGAAACAAAAGCTGGTTGATCAAATAAAGACAAGCACCCTTTTGTTATCTCCATCTCCAGCTCTGCCCCCCACCACTTCTAAACCAAAAAAGAAGAGTCTCCGTGCATTGATAGAAGCTGCTAAGTATGACCAAATTACAAAGGAATCACTAAAGGTGTCTGAAACAGAACCAACTCTAAGCTCCAGAAACACAGCTCAGACAGAGCCCAAAACTATCTCAGGCAAAGACTATGCCCATCTGTCTGCAGACGCTAAACCCAAAGATGCACCTAAGAAGACACCAAAGACAAAGAATCATGTTAATCAGATGTTTTCCACAACCAAACAGAGTGAAAGTAGCACAAAATTCCCAGAGAAAAGACACAAGTTTTCGGAGGATGGCAAGCAGGAGATTGAGGATTCATCCATGAATAATTTTGTTTTGAAGTTAGGAAATGGCCACCAGGCAAAGATCACCCTCCAGGATGTTAAAGCCACATTAGGCCGAGCTAGATCGCCTCGTCAGTCCAGCAGGCCGAGCATCCTGAGCCAAATTCAAACTAATGACAACCTGTGCAGTAAAATCAGAGTCGATACGGGTGTTGGACCAGCTCCACTTTTAGAAGATAATCAAAAGTATGTTGCAACTCAGTCTGATGAGCTGCTGAGCCCTAGCCCACAACATGCAGGCCTAAAATCAGATAAGAAAATAACCTCAAAGACTAAACAACTGGCTTTAGTCCCTCTGCGAGATGTGCCAGAATCAACCCCTCCTACAGCTCCCTTCCTGCGTGCGTCATCTCAGCAGTGGCAAGCTATGCCTCCTCCAGTCAACCTGAATGAGGGGCTGAAGGTGAGCCATCACATGACAGGCCTCCTCACAAAATCGGCACCAGTGGGTCAGTTTTCCAGCCTTCTTTCCCCTCTTGTATCACAAAGTCTGCCAGTGAAGGTGGAGACAGTGGAGAAGCCTGAGGTCAGGAAGCAAAGCACTGCTGAAAATCCAAACGAAGGTAAGTATTTGGAAATAATTGTATTCCAGCCAAAATGTATACAGACCTGATGGTCCGGATTCTTTCCCTGTCTGACTTACAAAATAATATAATTAATGAATTATATTCAGACATTTGAACAAGTCACTTTGTGGCTCACCGCACTGTGTTAGGCGTTTTTCAGATTTTATTGATAAAGTAGTTCATAAATGAAGAAAAATTATTGCCATATATTGTCAGTTTTACTGGGCCAGTACCAATAATAAAGACTTTGGAATAATATTCAGCTCGATTGTAGTGTTTCAGCTTCCTGATTCTCTGTCGGTGTCATGGATTACAGGAGCTCTGACACACCGGAGTCTTGGACAGGTGAGACTGAGGGAATTACCTAAATGGCTTGCCTGCAAAGCCCCAAGCCATCCAAAAGATGCTGTGGGAATGTTGCAAAGAGGTCAGTATCTCTCTCTCACACACAGAGAGACACAGTATTTGTGCTACTCACAGCACAAAAGCCGTCCTCCCATTTGTTTGTCTGTCACTTCTAACTTCCTGTAACAGTGTTATCTCTCAGAAATGAGGTTTTATTGAACATTGTAGATGCTTGTAGTCAGATGTTACCTCAGAACAAAAGCATTATAGCCAACAGCTGTTAGCAGCCGCTTAATATCTGCTATACAGATGTGAGATTGGTGTCTATTCTTTAAGATTTGTGTGCTTGTCTTTTCTCAACTCTGTGCATGATTCAGGCTGGCAGTGGTATTACAGGCGGTATATTGATGTGAGGAAAGGAGGTGTAGGTGGACTGGGCATGTTGTTAGCAGGATACTGCGTGCTCAGCTACATCTGGAGTTACCGCCACATAAGTAAGTGTGTTTTACTAAGTGTGTGCTCCATTTAACTGATGGATTTGGAGATAAGCTGGTTTTCTTTTTTTTTTCCTTTTCCCAGAGCTTGATCGCTGGAGGAAGTATCACTAAGGGTCAAGGAAAGATACTTGAAGCAGCAGCATTGACAGAGAAAAGATTCAGAACTTCAGGACTCCATATGATGAATTTGCACAGCATTTATAACTGAGAAACTGGTACCGTTACTTGTCAGCATGTAAGCCCTTCCCTTCAGCCAATTTTGTGTATTCTGTCACCAGCATACATTGTGGGAGCACTATATAGTAAATGATAAATAGTGAAGTAAGTGCAAAAGTGCCTTAAACTGAATTCTTTGTAGTGACCACAAGTGTACAACTCTTCTGGTTGGAAAACAAGTACAGGTGTATAGAAGTCTATGTCAATTCTCCAGTGAGTTTAGGGTCTCAGTAGCTAGTTTCAAGCTTGATTGAATGCAACATGCTTATTTTTTGAATTAAATGATCACTTCCATATAAGCATACAGTTCCCCCTCAATTCAACCCCAGATACACTCATGACAACAGGACAAATGCTCATCTCTAAGCTTCACATTGGGACTGCGTTGACTTCATAGTGTTCATAGAGTTTTTCTAGAAGCAAGTCTTGCCGTTGGGTTCTTGTTTGGGCAGTTTCATTTCAGTGGTCACTGGGACATAAAACTGCATGTGTGGTATCACCATAAAACTGGCTTAATCCTGATGACTTTTCCCCAAAATAAGCCTTTTTTGTTTCCCTGTTTGTCCTACTACCTTGTTTGCTTTTGCTGAATTTTCCCAGATATTTATATTTAGAATTGGGTGTCGTGTGTTTCTTTCAGTCTCTCTGGTTGTCCATCTTTTGTATAAAATCTAAAAGCATATGTTATGAAGACAGACTGAATGATTATGAATTTTCCTAATTAAATGAATTGCAAATGAATACAAAACTAAAACATGTAACTTTCTATCTCTAGGTGACCAGGATAAGAGTAGTTTCATTCTTATCTGTATAAGGTTTCTAAAATGAAAGCTTGTCATGCTAAATTGTATTATTTTAAAATGCTTATGTTTTTGTATGTTTCTTTTATTATTCCTGTCTTATTTTATTTCATGGAGAAAATGTTAAAAAAATAAGTATTTGCTTTAAAAAAAACAAACAGTCAAAACATTTTTCCTCATCAGTGACCACTGTGTGCTCCAGACATCCACTAGCTGTCACTGTTGGGTTATGTTACTTGAACCAAGGGGGGCTGGGCAGTCTAATGTCTGTTGTGCAGTTTTCTCAGCTCTTTTGTGTAGAGGCATCGGTGCTGGAGTCCATAAAAGGATTAAAGAGAACCAACAGATTTCTAACTTGATAAAATATTACTTTGGCAGCTGTGATGCAGAGAAACATGAAATCTAAATGTCATGACATCAATGAAAAGATCATATCTGTGCAGCAGAGGGTAACAAATCTGGTTTTCCTTTGCCACTGCTTCCTCTGTCACATGATGTGATTATGCATGCTTAGTCCATCAGTGCCAGTGTGTGAACCCTCACAGAATAGCAATGGAGGGAAATTGAAGGAGGTTTTCAGCCGGATTGGACCAGTTCCTTGTTGTACACAAAATGGATTTATTGTTGAATCTCCTAACTGCTGTATTGAACAAATACAAATAAAGAAACAACAGCATTTTCTTTTGTAATGACTTTACTGACACTGCTTCTTAGTCAACACAATAAAAAATAATTTTCTTAAGTTTTTTTCTTTACATTCTCTTTTTCTTCGTACAAAAATTATAAATATTTTGTGTCTAACTTTTTTTATACAAAACAACAAACTATACAAATCAAATGGGACAATAAACAATGAAAATGAAGGCAGAAAACGCATCTCTGCACAAAAAAAAAGAAAAAAAAATGATGATGATAGGGGAGAAAAAGCACAGTTTGTTCCTACCAGGCTCTCAAGACCATGATATGCATTCTGATAACACAATGGTTTACAAACACTGGGTATGTCCCTACTTTGAAAGCCTAAAGTGAACATCCTTGTAGATATAAGTGCTATAGAGGCACAAAATCTTGCAGCAGTCGCTTGGAGGAGCAAATGCAAAGTCTCACTTGACCCTCCCTTTAATTTGAGATTTGCTTTCAAAGCAAACAGCCCAGTTTTTCTCGGAAAGAAGAGGTCTGCAAGAGCTGAGGCAGAGATGCAGGCAGGCTGCCATGGCCACTGGCACTTAAATTAAAAAAGGGTCTTCTATTATCCCATATGAAAGGCCTTCAGTCTGTTTGTGTGGTCTATTAGCAAGCATATTTCACATACATGCTCATAGGAGAAAGGTGGTGCTGTCCAGAATCAACCCTGAGAGCATTTAATGCATTTAATCAGGGCTTTTGTGTTGTTGCAAAAACAGAAGTAGAGGGACATTATTTAGGACTTTTAAGTCTTGGTTTAATAAAACAAAAACATAATCATTCTGAGTTCAGAGGAAACACTACAGGGGTTTTTTAAATAATTAGCCACAGAGCTGGTGAGACAAATGACGGGGATTCTGGATGAGACCACAGTCTCTCCTAATCATTTTGGTTGTGCTGCTGAGAAGGAAAAGAGCGAAAGTGTGAGAAAACTATCCCAGGGAACTAAGAAAACGCTTGGCAATAAAGTCAAAAGTATGGCAATCACACTACCAAACTACAGGAAATCAGTGTGTATGGTTGCCAATTAACACACACACACACACACACACACACACACACACACACACATTGACGTGTCAGGGTAGTAAAGCATAGAGAGAAAGATATGATTCATATATAATTATATGCAAAAGGCAAACAAACATACATACAATCAATGACCCTCCTGGGTCATTTAAACTGCGACAGTATTGTCACGTTCTCAACGCTGGGGAACACATAACAACAAACAAAAACAGTCCTGTTCCTTTCAATGTCATTTAAAAGAAAAAAAAAGTTCAGCAAATTTAACATCTCTTCCTCAATCTGAGGACGTAGCTCCACAGACACAAACTCACTGTGAAATGATGAAGGTGGCAGAGATCTACAGATATGTCCTGTGTCTGTGTCGGGACTTGCATACCTTTAAGGTACAAAAGAAAATGAAAAAGGTGACTTAAGCACAAAAAAAGCACTGTAACACTACTATATGTGTCAATGGGACTAGTTTAACTGGCTTCTAGTGTGATTAAGAGGTTGTCCTTGTTACAGGCAGCCAAAAACACAAAAGCAGGCAAAAAGATTTTGGTTCTCTTTGATGTGTCCATCCAGTTCAGCCCAGCATACACCGCATATTGACTAAAGCCTTGTGTTTATATAGTTCCTGAAATAGGCCACAGTATGTTTAGTGCAACTTGCCTGTTTGAAGGTATCTCTACTGAGCTTAGATGTGAGGAGATCTACACCTCTCAACCATGAACTACCTGTACAAAAGCAACTGTTTGCGTGCTTAGATGTAGAAAGAACAGAAATAAATGGATTTTCTGATATTTAGAGCTTCTTCATGTAAACACTTCCATATAAAAACCTACAATTAGGCACAGAGTCCCTCCTCCTCATCTCTCTTGTTCGGCATAGGTAGTGGGGTGGGGAATAAACAATAAACTGGCAAAAAGTATTAACTAGTGTGTGAAGAGAGGGACACTCTTGCATTCAGTCGCAAACCTTACCACTGTAAAATAAACAAAAGAACATTTTGCATCTGTTAGTACATTGCATTGCACACATTCCCGGGTCTTTATAGGTAACTGTAAGTGCATGTGTTCACGTAACACCTTTACAGACTAACTGACTTCAACATAAAATTCCTCTAAAATAACCCAAGGCAAACTACGTACATGCTACATGGCTGTGTATCACTAAGAACACAGACCTGAAAGAAGGGTTAGCCTCTCTTCACACAGGGGACATAAAGAAAAAGAAATGCACATACAAAAAAGAAGTAGAAACCATACATTGGGTGTAATATGGTTTATACATCTTAACATTCCAGGATGCTGTTGACTGCCGCCTCAAGAGCAGAATCTGTGTCAGGGTGAGGGGGTGAGGTGAGCTGAGGGGTATATGGAGGCTGCACAGGGTGGTGAGACACCTGGTAGTTTGTCGGGCCTCCTGACAATGCTGGGAAAGGTGAGGGTTTATTATGGGGGCAACTATTGGCAGCAATCAGGCTGTTGTTGCTGATGCCGCTGGGTCCGTAGAGTTGCTGGGATCTCTTCATTTCCAGCACGTTCTTGCTTTCGAAGTGTGGTGGATGAAGTCTCTCTGTTGAGCCAGGTCCTACAGGCTCACTCCCTCCTGGGTCTTCATAACCAGGCTGGGAGTCTGTCCTGTATGGTGGCTCCATAGAGCCTTGTTCTGACTCATTCCATTTATAGCTGGATATAGGCTGAGGCGGGGAAGGGGCTTGGAAAAGTTTGGATTTCGTCCCACAACAGAACTCCTCCAAGAAACTGTCTACAAACCAGACAGGGCAAAGTGTTAAATCAAAGTTAACTGAAAAGGGAATATTAGTTCACAATGGGATTCACTCCAATTCTGTTTTACCTGGGTCCACTAGTACCATGCGTTTGTCTTGTATCAAGGTGCTGCGCTCCTCTTGGTTGAAAGTCCTGTCGATCATCACCATTTCTGAGGACGGACTGAAACGCTGCACAGAAGAGTGAGGTTATGCTGTTAGCCCTGTGCATTTCCTAACATCCCTCACATCTAGTCATTAACTAGCGCGTGCACCTACCTCAGCTTCCACCATCAGTAGTCGCCTGTATTTGTTTACCATCCCCTGTGTCCTCATCAGCACCTGAGTTGCAGCTGCTTCAAATTCCTCATCCACTGGAAATTCAAAACACAACACACTACTTATATTAAAAACAACAACAACTTTAATTCCATAAAAGACTTGGGGTGAATCTAGTATTGTCATTACTGTACCCTGTGAGAACTCGTCCGGGCTGGGTGGAGCCCCCTGGAACACGTGGTACGGGATAAGTCTCAGGAGTGCGTCATCAACTGAAGTGAATCGACGTCGATCTGGGGTCTGAACTGCAACATGATCCTTCCTCACCTGCTGTAAAATCCTTTAAAAATAACAGAGAAAGACACAAGTTTGTTAAATGACTGAAAGACAAAAGCACAACTACACAGAACAGATGGCATGTCAAAAAAACTCACATTTCTCCTTTTGTAAGAGTAGGAAGCAGAGGCCTCTTCTGTGCACTGACCTATGATGGGGAAGTGTAAAAACCAAAGATGTCATTACATTAGATTGTTCCACCTAAAAAAGACACACAAGCATGTAAAACAAACAGCTAACATACCTCAGAGTTTAGTATTGAATCCTGTACCATGGGTTTGATTGCTACAAGAGATCACACAAACAAAGCAACTTTATCAGTCTGAAATTCTGCAGCTTATATTGAAACATATTATACACTGAAGCCATTGGCGCCTCTTTTACCGTGGATGCTGCTGGCATGTGCTTGTTTGAGGGCAGGTGATGAAGAATTCTGAAAAATTTCAAGTAAAAGTTATGTTAGAGAGAGAACAAATAAGGAGAGAGCAAATTAATAAAAAGACTGCCATCTGTATACCTGTCTGTAGTCTTGTTGCTGTGTCACATTACCAGGTAAAGGGGACAGAGAAGTACAGTTCTGGGATGGAGTCACTAGAAGGCGCTGCACGGGAGTAGCCGACGCTTGGCTCTGATTGCAGATCCCTGTTGTAGCCGGGCCAACCAGAGTCAGACGTCCAGGAGCGCATGGTGTCTGCACGGAGGTGGAGCTCGCACAAGAAACTCCCGTCCACATCTGAGTTACACCTCCTCCAACCTGATTCCCGCTTACTACTCCCTGATTCAAAATTAGTGGACCAGCTGTTGGTGCATTGAAATTCTGCGCTGCAACAATCTGCACTGTGTTTTGACTGGTAATTAGGGGATTTGAGTTGGGGTTGATGGGCCCGTTGTGGATGGTGCTAGATGAAGTGAGAGCCAAGGAGCTGGGTAGCAAGAACTGTCCGGCTGATATATTTGTCAGTGTAGACGCTTGTTGCTGCTCCAGGGGTGGTTGTACTACAATGGAGCCAT